ATGAAACTCTTTGACCTACTCCACACATTTTGCTTTCCACTCTGATGGAATTGCCTGTCTTAGTCTTAGTGTTCTTGGGCATTTTTTTTAAGAGGTTTTTTGGTACAGGATGCATGCCCTTGCCAGAGAGACATAGACAGAGGGACAGAAAATGAGAAATCATTCCCCGGGGGTAGGGCCACACTGCAATCCCTTCTCCTCCATTCTCCTCTTGTGATTTTGGGCACACACATCCCTGTGCCCAATGTGAGTTTCAAGCTGCCAAATCAGGACTCGAACCATGGTTGATCATGTGAGAGTCCAGTACCTTAACCATTATGTCGCCTGCTGACCCGTAGTGTTTTTATAAAACTGTTTTAATGGCCTTAAAACCATTAAGGGGGAGCTTCTTCATCTTGAAGTTCTAATTGTACACCACTTACATAATATTAATCCTTCAAATCTGGATTCAAATCTGGAGTTTTAAATTCAAACCCGAGAGTAAATAAAGAAATGAGATTTAATGAAAATAGGAATGTACCAACACAACTCCCAAAGACCAGGTGCAAACCAGTTCCACCTTCGGGCAATTCCAACAATTTTTGGTTATTTAGACATCCTACAATTGATCGCTTCACATTGCCATGCTCCTTCTCTGTCCATTTCTTTAATTATAGTATAGAGCTTGCTCAGAGTTCTCATGGCAAGTTTTGGAGAGCCATGTGAAACTCTTTGTGGGAACCCTTAAGATACTGATAAAACCATAATTAGGGATCACTGATTTAGTAAAAATTGGTAACTTCAGAAACAGTCTTGACAAATCTTCAGCCCAATCTGGCCCCCTCTTCGTCTATTATCATTACTTTCTGTTCTCAACACCTTGGTGCTTCTACAAATAGTTGACCAAGTTTCTTTACTTCTCTTTTTCACTCTGTCCTTCTGTGGTCAAATTTAAATAAACAAAGTTTTAAAAAAATTAATAATAGATGCTTGGGAACAGCAGATGGCCTGGTGGTTAAGGCACTGGGCACTCCCACAGAGCTGACCATGGTAGAGTTCCAGCGTGCTTTCTCACTTTGCTTCTCTCTCTCTTTCTTTGTCTCTCTCTAGTCAAATGAAAATAAATGAATGAATGCATCAAATTAAAATAAATAATTCTTTAATAATAATAATAGATTTTACATTTTAAAATAAGAAATATGGAAAAAAATGATCAGAATAGTTGGAGAGGCTTGGACCTACATTCTTCATTCACTTCTTGCTCATTAAATGATGTCTTTTTGAACAGTTATAGATATTTTTTCTAGATGTTGTGACTGGACTAAAATGTAGGGATATGCATCACATACTTGGTACATTCTGAGCTTCCTAAATAGATAAGAGAGAACAGGAGGCTTCGAGTAAGTATCCCTGATTCTAGTCCAGGGTTCTACCTCCAACTTTCTGGGTTAGTAACTTCACAGCATTTTTTAAAAGACTCCATTTTCTTTGGCCAAGGTATTGGATTGACTCTCTGAAGATTCTTGAGTTTATACAAGTTACACATATAAATAGAAGACCTTGCTCCTGCTTCAGAAGGAACATAACGTCACTCACACTGAGGGATCCCAACCGTAGTGCTTGGGAGGGCACACGCTCCAGGGGGCTGATCTGTTTGGTGTCCTGTGAAAGACAATGATGGATCCGCCATAACACTTTGAAAATTTAGATGCACTCTTCCTAAAAATAAAGCTTGAAGATGTGAGGACACTGAGGGAAAACTGATCAATGAATATCATCAATTTCCAATTAGGCACTTCACAGAAAATTTGAAATGCTCTAAGCTAATAGATGAGAGAAAATGAATAGTGACTTTCACAAACTAAACATTTTGACAATTTACATGACATTATCAACGATGAAAATAAAACCCAATCTTTTCTAAACAAATTTAAACAGTCAAAAGTAAACACTGAGTTATCTTTCCATCTTCTCTGTAGAAAATATTACAAAGCTGTTTTAAGTTCCAGTCCCCATAAAATCTAGATTTTCTTCTGGATATGTCAATACAAAAGAAGAATTTAGAGGAGATAAATATCAGTATGGCTATGGAAGGCTTCTCAAAATAATTTGGAAGGGACTTAGGCTTTGATGAAATTTTTAAAATGGAATTTAGAATTGTTAAGTAGATTCCCAACTTAAGAAATTACATCATCCTTCAGCTTCAGTTCATGCCATATTCTGGGCATGCCCAGTGAGTTCCCTCTCAAATGTCATCCCCAAGTGATTGGTTCTCAATAGGGAAAAGCAGCAGCAGCAGCAGAGATGGAGAAAGGGACCCTGTGTACCCATGTTAGTCATACCTGCTCAGCTCTCTCAAGGACCTAAGAAAACAAGAAGAGCTATTTGTTTTCAGGAAAATGTTCCTTTACTTTCTTCCCAAACCCTGCTACCCTTCAGCTCCTCTGAGACAACTGGATGTGTGCAGCAGAAGGTGAGAGTGTCGAGGTTCTAGGATGAGATCAATGCTGACAGAATGGTATGTTTGGGCCAGAAAGCTGGGTATCAGTTGGATAGGATGTCAGGTAAATCTGAGGGGCTAGATCTAAGACAGTCCCCTTATGCATGCATTTCCCCACTCATTCCCTTTGACTGTAGTGCCTTTTCTGATTTCTAGAAATAATCAGGCATGTTGGGGAAGAACGAAGGAGTAGAAGAGCCCCTGCATAGCTTTGAAGCTCTCCAGGAACATAAGGTTTGAAAAGGTAAAAGGAGCCCCTCCATTTACTGGGTCATAGACCAACCTTCCTGTGGGCTGGCTCCAGGTACATTAAGATGGGTGGCCTAGTCATAGACATAAACCAGGAGGGAAATCGACATATAATGATAATAGTATAAGCTAACTACCCTTACCATATACTTGGGTGTACATTTTCTTTTGATCAGAAACATGTACAGCTTGTGGCATTGTTGCTGAATCCTTGGGCTCAATGGGACAGTAGAATAAGTAATCCTAACCTGCAGCAGCAACAGAAATGTCCTCCCAGGGCCATGTGAGATGATGTACACCTCGTCCTAGCATAAACTTGGCAGGAACGCAGGGAACCCTGTGATAAGTTAGACCAGGCACCCTATACCTTTGCAGAGAGCACCCTCCCATTTTTCCCCAAATGGTGCCTTGTGAGCAGCTGAACGTCAACTAATCATCACTCAGGAAGCATCCACAATATGTCAAGCTTTGGGTTAAACCCATTGTCTAGTAGTGCTTGTCAGAGTTATTGCAATGTTCTTTTAATTTCTCTTTTATTTTCTTATTTTTTACATTTGATCACTGTACATCTTTACAGCACACAAAATGCATTTCCCCAGTGTGAATATTAGTCCAAGGATATTACCATATACAGTATTATCAGCAGATAATCTTCCATTTTTGCGTTCATTAAATGATTTGCTTTTTTTGTTCTTCCTTGATTCCCTCCCCTTCCAATCTCCACATACTGTCCATCCTCCTCCCACATTGTCTCTGGTATTGCAATTGGAATAGATAGTCATAAAACCCTTTCAGATCTAAAGAAAGGCAGCTCTTATGATGAAGGGCAGGCAATGTGACTCCTTGGAAGGGCATGGGGGGTCGTGTACCTCCAACTGACAGGCTGTAGTCAGCTCTGTTGAAAGCTTCCACTTTGGGAACCAGGAAAGTGTCATACTTGTCTAAGCTTGGTTTATGGGTTTCTTATGACTGCTGTAACAAATTACCACAAACGTGTCACTTAAAACAACACAAATGTATTCTCTTTCAGTTCTGGAGGTCAGAAATTTCAGTGAGGGGGGCAGCAGGTGGCGTGGTGGTTAAGGCAACTAGACTCCCACATGGCTGACTGCAGTTCGGGTCCTGGACCTGGCAGCCTGCTTTCTCACTTTCCTTGTCTCTCTCTGGTCAACTTCAAAAAAATAAGAATAAAATTTAAAGAAGAAAGGAAGGAAAGAAGGAAAGGAAGGAAGGAAGGAAGGAAGGAAGGAAGGAGGGAGGGAGGGAGGGAGGGAGGGAGAGAGGGAAGGAAGGAAGGAAAGATAGATATAGGTAGGTAGGTAGATAGATTTGAATGAGTATTACCGAGCTCAAATCCAGATGTCAGCAGAATGGGTACTTCCCAGAAGTTGTAAGGAAAAGTTCATTCCTTGACTTTTTGGCTTCCAGAGGCTGTCCATATCCCTCGGCTCCTGACTTCACTTTATATCACCTTTTCTCCCTCTGCTTCTGTGGTTTCATGGCCTTCTCCCTAGTGTCACAGTTCTTTCTGTTTTCCTCTTTAAGGATACTTGTAGTTACATTTAATGCCCATCTGAAATAATCACCCCCATCTCTAAAATCCCTTAAGTGAACTGCATTTGCAAAGTTCCCAAATCAGGAAATATTCACAGTTCTGAGAACTGGGATCTAGGTAGCTTTAGGGATCCTGATTCAATTCACCACAGTTGTCTGTTTTTAAAAATGCCATTAAACAGCCTCATTCTGAGGAAGGAGGCAGAAGACACATTTGAGCCTCCAGGGGGACCAGACAGATCCCTGGTATATTATGTTAGCCACATTCCACCCCCAGGATCTTGTGTTTTTAGGGTCAGAACAGTAAGGAGCCCCTGCGTAGAAATCTAAAATCCCTTGTCTTAAGAAGAGAAGACTGACTACTTGCACAATGCCACGAGGCAACTTGCACAGGTTATTCAACCAGACCAAAGCCCATGTGTTCATAGTGCAAGTCGCTTGCTCTCTCTCCTGTATCTTTAGAGGACTCAACGTAATAGTTTCTTAACAAATCCAGTACGTTTCTAAGTTAGTAAATGTTATCTGTTGGAGGGACTATGGCAAACCAATCCTTTGAAAACTAGTGCAGATGGAAATTCACTGAATGTGAGTTGTTGTGCTATGTCTTTGTTCAAGCCCAACTGCTTTGTTCCAGGAAGTCTGGGAGATTTTTCATCTGGCTTTTCCTGGTGAGGTCCACCCTGTCAGCAAGTGGACCGCACCAGGAAATAATGATCTTCTGGAAAAGGAGAGATAAATCAGAGATTCTGCACTATTGGGCCTACTGTCTCAACCAGATTCACTCTGCAGTTCTACCTCATGGCTTCGGTTCTCAAGGTGGAGTGTCTTGAGCAGAAGTACCAGCATCTCCTGGAACTTGTTACAAATGCAAATGATCAGATCTCATTCCAGCCTGGATTAGAAGTCTGTCAGGGCCCATCAAGCAGTGTTTTAACAGGCCCTCCAGAAGATGCTGATGAAAGCCAACATGTGAGAACCACTTCCTTAAGGTAATTCCAGGCTTCTGTGGGTGAAGGGGGTCAGTGGGCAGAGAAAAAAGAGCAAGAGCTTGCTTGCTTCCCCAGTGAAGAGTGATTGTGGAAATGAGCCTTATCAAAGATGTTGTTTTAGCCCATTAGCTGTTGCTTAATCACTGAAAACCTGAAATATAGTCATTTATAATAGAGGTTTATTTAGCTTTTGGAGGTCCAGGGTCAAGGAGCTGCACCTGGGGTGGACATTCGGTGGGTGGGGCCCAGGGGCAGCATAGAGCATCACATGGCAAGAGCTTGCCTGTGTCCCAATCTGGCTCATTCTTTCTCCTTATAAACCCACCAGGGGGACCAGCAGTTAGTGTAATGGCTATATTGCTGAACTCCCATGTAGTCGACCACGGTTCAAGTCCCTGACCTGGTGGCTTAAACTCATGCCAGTGTACCCAAGATCCCTAGAGGAGAATGGAGGAGAAGGGATTGCGGCATGGCCATCCCCCCTGGGGGGGGGTGATTTCTCGCTTTGTATCTCTCTGTCTTTCTGGTGAGCACAGGCGCCCTATGGCAAAAACCTCTCCAAATAAATAAATAAACCCACCAGGAGCCAATGGGGGTGGGAGAGGGGGCATGCTTAATAGCTTTAATCTTAATCACTTTTCAAAGGCCCTACCTTTCAACATCAGTTAGATTAAGATTTCACCCTCTTCGGGACTAGCAGATGGCGTAATAGCTATGTTGCCGGACTCCCATGTAGTCGACTGCAGTTTGAATCCCAAACCCAGTGGCTTAAGTTCACGCCGGGTGCGTGTGCGTGCGTGCTCAAGATCCTAGGAGGAGAATGGAGGAGAAGGGATTGTAGTGTGGCCATTCCCTCTGGGGGGTGATTTCTCATTTTCTGTCTCTCAGTGTCTTTCCAGTGAGCATACACGCCCTATAGCAAAAACCTCTCTCTCTCAAAAAAGATTTCACCCTCTTAATCCTGTCACAGCTCCCCCAAAAATTATTTATTTATTTTTACTATAAGGCACATGCATTCACAGGAGACACACAAAAAGACAGAAAGACAGAAAGTGAGAAAGTGCCAGTAAGTCTCATCCCCAAGGTGGATGGCCACTCCACAGTCCCTTCTCCTCCATTGTCCTCTCAGGATTATGCTCACATGCACACATGCCCTGCATGAGTTTCAGGCCTCTAGGTCTGGGATTCGAACCACAGTGGGTCATATAGGAGTCCAGTGCCATAACCACTACACCTCCTGCTAGCCCAGATCCAAAGTTTAATATATGACTTTGGGGGCAGCCCATTCGACCCATAGCAAATGTGTTTCTTCTCGGGTATATTTGGGTGGAGAAATCTGAACATGGCTGGCAGGAGAAACGACATTGTCCAGCAGCTCAGCAATGAAAGGATGGAAAGGTGCCTAATACTGTGGGCTGTATTCGGGAAGACGCGGGTGTGTGGTTTCGAGTGATGGCAACCAGTATGGCAGAGGGACTTGCATTATGTAGAAACAGTAATCCACTGACCTGAAAGAAGGTTCTGTCTCTGAACAAAACAGCAGAGAAAGGAAGATGGATTCCCCCAGCAAAATCATTCAAAGAGAAACTGGATGATTGCAGCCGAATTTGTTAAACTGGTGAAAAGGCAATTTAGGAGGTGCCTTAGATCCAGTTTGATTGTGGTGGGGTATGACATGCTGTGGGAAAGGGATTCCTTTCTCCTCTTCAGTGAAGGCGAAAAGCATGGAGAGGAGATACCACGCTCTTCATCCCTCTTCATCATCAGGAAAGAAACATTTCTCTTGAACCTGGGGCTTTTTGTTCCCTGGGGCACATGTGGCAATGTCTGGACATTTTTTTTTTTTTTTGAGAAGCTTTTGCTATAGGGCGCGTGCGCTTGCCAGAAAGACAGAGAGATACAGAGAGATAGAAAGAGAGAAATCACCCCCCATGGGGGATGGCCATGCCGCAATCCCTTCTCCTCCATTCTCCTCTCGGGATCTTGGGCACGCACACACACGCGCCCGGCATGAGTTTTAAGCCACCGGGTCCGGGACGCGAACCGTGGTCGACTACGTGGGAGTCCAGCGACATAGCCATTACGCTAACTGCTGGTCCCATGTCTGGACATTTTTGATGGCCAGAACCTGCAGGGTTTCTCAGGGGCATTTGGTGAGCAGAGGCCAGGGGTATTGATGAACATCCTACTTATGCACAAAACAGGCCTCCTCAAGGATGACCTGGCTTCACGTTACCATGGTGCTGAGGTTGGGAAACCCTGTCTAGGGCAGTCACATAGTAGACACCAGCCTTAGTAAAAACCTCACATTTGTGGGAGCAAATGTTTGAGTACTCAGACTGAGTCAGAGCGACAGAGAACAGTGTAAGCGATTGGAGGACCGAGAGATGGTGAGAGAGATATACAGCCCCATCTTCTCCATCTAGAGGAATCTGGACGCCCACAATCCAGTCCCTCAGCTCAGCTCTTTCCCGGTGTGTGGGCATGGCTGTCTCCACATCAGCAATTCTGGTCCTGCATGGGGGGGTGGGACCAAAGGATACATTTAGCTTTCAGATGGGAAATGTACTATTTATCCAACCCCTCTGAACATCAAACACAAATTACCCATCCTGAATCATCAGTACCGTTTCATCATTTAACTAGTGAAAGTAAAACCTATTCATTATAAAAGAAGGCCTGTAATGAACTTCTCCATGACTTCGTGTGATGAGAGATCCAAGAGGCTAGTATTTTGCACTTTATGAGTGTCAAGAATGCACAGCTACTTCCCGTCTGTGATTGCCCAAGCTACCAGCTGTTCAATTAAAAGAGCTTAGAAAATGATTTCCTAGGGGCTGGCAGGTGGCATGGTGGTTAACAGTGCTGGATTCCCACATGGCCAACTGCGGTTCAAGTCCTGACAGCTTGCTTTCTCACTTTCCCTTCCTCTCTCTATCTCTGTCTAGTCAAATTTTAAAAATAGTAATAACAAATGGAAATATATAAATAATGCCTTTAAAATAAATTATTCCCTAAAGGCTTAGAAGAAGTAAAAATCTAATCAAAATAAAAATCTGATTTTACCCATCTCTCTTACCGTTTCTCCAAATTGTTCTTACTTAAATATCATCCCTTCCGCACACACGCACACATTTTTCTTTTCTTTTTTTCCACTCCATGTAATTAGGTAGTGACGATGTAAAACTTCCTTTATAGGTAAAAATATAAGGTTATTGGATTACTAGTTTGATTTTTATTGCTGTTCTAATTAGAGCTGGAGAGCACTTCTAAGTGTCTTAATTGTTTTTTTAGCCCCTTAATTAAAAATTGCCTGAAATTTAATTAACGTCTAATTAATTCCTCCATTCTCACAAGCAAAGCAGCCAAGGACAAGAAATTTAGAGTATGGCTTTTAATATATAAACTGAAATTAAAACATAGTTTTTGGGGGGGCCAACAAGCAGTGTGATGACTGGATCCTACACGTCTGAATGCACAGTTCAAGTCCCAGACTCAGTGACTTGCAAAACACTCTGGGCGTGTGTCCAAAATCCTGGAAGGAGGGAATGATGGAGAAGAGATTGCGTGACCATACCCCACGGGGGCTGCTTTTTCACTTTCTCTGTGTGTGTCTGTGTCTCTATCTGCTGAGCGTGTGCACCCTCTGGCAAAGTAAGAAGAAGAAAAAAAGCGCTTATCTATTAATATATTTAAAAATAGGGTGACTTGATTATATGAATTCAATCCTCTTTCAGGACATTTTTCTTGGGCCCCCACCTGGTCATCGTTCAGAGCATGTTTTCATTGACCACTGGACCTCTGGAGACCATGAAGAATGAGCTCGGTCAATTCTCTTGTTTTTAAGAAGTTTTTAGAATTAGGAAGAAGAGATCATATATTTATTTGGTATGAAATCATGCAAGGCCTAAAAATGCTCTCTGGATTAAAAAAAAAAAAAGACACATTTTGAAGCTGGTTAATTTTTCCCTAGTCACTGGGTAATGAGTCATCTGAGGAAATTACTCTGACTACATGCACAAGAATACCAGAGTCAGTGAAAGGAATCCCTGTGCTTGGCCAACGCAGAGAGATCTGGCCCGGTCACAATTACTGCAATTACTGTTAAGAATGTCAGAAAACAGAGATGTGATCTGTATCAAGATTTAGCTTTCCACTAAACGTGACTGTTCCTTTCTTCTTTCATCTTGCATACTCACGCAGGCTTGCCTTTTCACATATACACACACATTTCTTAAATCCTGTCTGCTTTAATCGACCTAGTCACATAGAAACGAGTTAAAAAGTATTGCCTGGTTTACCCTCCCTCTGTCTGCTTCTTAGTGTTAGCCTCATCCCCGCCCTTTAAATCGCTGAGCAGTCACTGCCACCTGCTCTGGGAAATCTTCCAGGATACTCCATCCCAGTTGGAGGGAGTTGTTCTTCCCCTGAACTTTCTGGTGGCCTGCGTATTCCTCCATTTATGTTGTAAAGATGTATTCACTGGGTAATTCCCTCTCTCACCCTACAGACTGCTAAATACTGGACACTCAATACAGGTGTCATAAACTTCCCTTGGGGGACCAGCAGGTGGTATGTTAGTTAAGGCGTTGGACTCCCATGTGGCTGACCACAGTTTGAGTCCCAGACCTGGTAGCTTGAAAATCATGCTGGGTGCATGTGCATGTACCCCCAAAATCCAGAGGGAAAGGGGATTGTGGCATTGCCACCCCTTTTGGGAGATAATTTCTCATTCTCTCTCTCTTTCTCTCTCTCTTTCCAGCAAGTGCAGGCACCCTATAGCAAAAACAACAACAACAAAACAACTTTCTTTGGTAGGCTTAGTGATCAAATAAAAAATTACTCCTCAACTACACAGAAAAGAATACAGAACTCTCAAAACATGTGGAATCCAGAGTAATTTGTCTAGACAGTTATTCCTGACATGCAGCATAAAAGGAAACCAACAGATATGATTAGGAACTGTCACACTAGATAATATCCCGGGAACTGCGAAAGCT